GTGACGTGGGGACGCTGTGGGAGGTGCAGACGCCAGAGGCCTTTGCAGAGCGGGGGTGTTTTCCACCAGTCACCAGGTTTTGAGGTACTGTCACCTAGGAGGGGTGAGGAGGAGGAGGATGAGAAGGGCAGTGAGTCTCTGTGCATCCGGTTCTTGCATCCCTCCCCAGGTCTGTTGATCTCTGCACCATCCCCAGTCCTTCAAAGGCTGGAGGAGTCCTTGCACTGGCCATGGAAGGAGTGGCATTGGTGGAGAGGTTTCCTGCACTCCTTGCCTGATGTTGGCAGTGCTGGAAACTCTGGGGCATTTCCAGACTCCAGAGGGGTTCCTGTGTGTTAAGGTGCCTCTTAGGGCAGCATCCAGGGGGAGGGATGTGCTGTGTTTGTGTTCTGCTGTCCCTGGTGAAGCTCCCTGGTGTGTGATGCCAGCAGGAGATCCAGCTGGAGCTTCACAACTCTGCCTCTGTTGTCTAGATGGTTACTGAACTTCTTTAGCCTTCAAACAAATGAGCTCCACTTGAAACCAGTTCCCACAGATGTTCTGAGAGCTACCTTCATCGCTTGTATTCCTATACTCTCATTTTGGTCTTTATTTCTGTTATAATCTACAAAAGAGACTTCAGGACATGGAGAAACACAAGGGTTTGTACTGTGCTTCCAACCAAGGTAAGAATTGCTCACTGGATGGCTCTTGATAAAGAGAGTAAGCTGTGCCTTTTTTTTTTCTTCTTCACTGAAACCAGAGTGGTGTAGCTGAGGCTGTCAGGCTTTTTGGGTCTTTTCCCCTTGACCAGTCACTGCTGCCTGTGGGCTGTTCTCCCCTGCCAATAGCAAGGACTTCACAAAGCCTTTCTGGACCCTGGATAGCCAGAAATATTCCTGTGATGTTGCATAAGGAACTGAGAAATTGCCCAAGGAAGGAGAGTTTTGGGGCTTGGTGAGATGAAGCCATGTGTTGGGCACAGCTTCTTATCCTGCTGTGGGCGATGACTCCATCCCTGAGCTCCTGCCTTTGAGGGAACCAGCGACAGCAGTTGGGCTCTGCAACTTCAGCAGGATCAGCAGCAGCAGGAGAAGCCTGAACGTCCATGGTGCACTGGTTCACCAAGATGCCACATGGGTGACTTGGAGTGAGCAGGGGATGGATGTGCGTGAGATCCCCCCTTCAACACCTGCCCAGGCCCTGCCTTCTGCAACAGCTTCAAAGAAGTTCCTCCTTTGTGCTTCTTCCCTGCTCCCAACCCAGGAGAATCCCAGCCCTGCGATGGCAGCAGGCTGAACAAAATCTGAGCAAGCCTGAAGATGATTGATGTGTTGTTCAGTAAAGTAGTGCTTGGGGTCTGTCTCACAGGTGCCTTTGGTCCCTGGCCTGGGGCAGTTACAGAGCAGCTTTGTTAGAACCCTTCAGGATTGTGTCGGACAGAGGATTCCCCTGTGGGTTACAAAAGGTGGGGATTAGACATGCTGTAATGGAGTTGCTGTATCTCAGCTTGCACTTGGGAAGGTTTTCCTGAGTTTTTTCAACCAGAGCACTGGGCCTTGTAGACAGCTCTGGTGGTTTCCCCTGGATAATGATGCCTTTCTGCCTGTGCCCAGCTGCTGCTCGCTGATAATGGAGCTATTGAAAAGCTGCCTGGTTCCATTTGGGAGGTTACTGCTGCCCATCTTCCCAGGGACTCGGAATGCCAGGGGCTTGTCCAACCTACAGTTTTCGACTTTCAACCCGAACTAGTGCCATAGCTCTGATGCAAGTCCAAAAAGCACGAAGCTGCAGCACTGCCGAGTTTCAGGAGATCAATTTTCTCGTGGCCTCATTAAAACCCTGCAGTTGTCTTACCTTCCTACTGCTGCTTTCACTGCTCACAGCTACGTTTTGAGTTTCAGAAGACCAGACACAGAGATGAATCTCACAAAGTACCGGTTGCCTCCCGTTTCCCAGCTGGGTGGGTACAGCTTATTTGTCGCTCAGAGAGTAAAATATGTGCCTGAAATCCTGACAATTCAGCATGGATTGGCTTGTAGGGGAGTGCTGAAACAGCTGCTGGCCTGAAGTGTTGTCGTTTCTTTACCAGGTAAGAGCTCGGTGTGTCTTGTTCATGTGATCCTTTCACACCAGGTGGAGGCCCAGTTATCCACAAGTCCCATCCATGAGGACCTGAGGCTCGTTGCCAAACACTGAGGGACCTCATGGAGAGATGTGGAAGGTGGTGTCACGGGTGGGTGTGGAGAGCATCCAGACTGTCCTCAGGGCAGATCTGGAGGTTGCTCAGAGCCGTTTCTGAGGTCTGAGGGTTCCTGATCTCCTCAGGGCTGGCTGTATGTCCCCAGAGCGGCCAGGCCTTGTCCCGGGGCTGTGACCTGCCCTGCTCCCCAGGGCAGGGAGAGGCTCCCTCTCTGAGCCTCAGAAAGTGTCTCTGAGAGTCTTCATTCCTTATCCTTCCCAGAGAGCATCAAGTCTCCATTCAGGTCGAGTCCTCTTGGAAACAGAGCAGACTCTGGACTAGAAATCCCTAAATGCAGTAAGTGAATAAAATAATAATGAGCTGAGAGCAAAGCAGGGAAATGCCAGCTCCACGCAGGACTGCTGCCTTCTGGAAAACAGCAGCAGCTGGGCCTGTTCCCATCTTTGGGATTTCCACTCCCCTGATGGCTGGGAGCTGCAGTACCCTCTTCTTTCACATATACAAGGATTTTTAATCTGGAGAAGGAGCTCCTTGAAACTTTGTTCACATCTATAAGCAGTAGGCAGTAGAGCTGCCGTCGTTCTCAGGCTAAAGGCAGTGCTGACCTCTCCCAGCCCCTGTAACAACAACCAGCTGTGCCTGTTAGAACACATCACTCAGTTATATTGCTGCATCTTGAATTTTTAATGATTTTTTCCAGCTAAATAGAGTACTCATCTCAAAATACTTGTTTTAAGTGGATGTTACAATGCAGGTTTTTTCCATTTTCTACTGACTGGGGAACAGTTTAAATAAATATTTGAGATAAGCCATTTTTATTAATAACAGATCTTGGAATGTCCTTTTTGCCAGTAATATCAAACATGCAGGTATTTTTCCTGCTAGCCTGATACCTGCTTTTTTTATTATTTTTTTTTAGGTGATTTATGCATTTCACCAACCAGCTGGAACAAGTACTGTAATACATTTTTAATGTTCAAATAGGCTCTATCAGATTTTAAATATATACATACCCAAACCTCACAGAGATCTGCTGGTCATGGATGAACCTTGTTAATACAGCACTGCTGATGTAAATATGTGTCTTTTTTCTACCACCATCTGCAAAGATCCAAACACAGCTCTGTGTAACAGAATACAGTTCGTGTTCAGACCATTAAATTGGTCTCAACACCTCACACTGGTCTCAACACCAGTTTGCTTCACAGATCTGGCAGTTGATATAGTAACCACTTTCTTGTTAATTTTTCTTCCAGCTGGGATAGAATATCAAACATTAATCCTTTAATTCTAATGCAGGATACATTTGAAGCTGACTTGTTCACAGTAGCTGAGGTACTTAGCAGCCTCTCCCACCCAGAATCTCCCATTTTTATATAAGCCTTTGCTATGAAATCAGTGTCTTTGTATTAAATTACATAAAGTTCTTTTAGAAGGAGAAGTTGGTTTTGAATATGGGGTCGGAGACCCACTGGCTGTCCCACTTTACTGTAAGTGTTGCTGCTGTCTTTGGTATGCAGTGTACCTCGTTACACTGAAATACAGAAACCTTGGCTTAGGGATACTTTTCTTTCCATATTTTACCAATTATGATGACATTAAGGATAACTAATGTTAGTGACTCATTTGCCAGGTGCTTTGAGATCTTGGGGCTAGGTTTGGTTATTTACTGCTGCAGAGAGGCAGAGCGTGATCCTTGAAGGTTGCAAAAACGCATTTATCAGGAACACTTTGAATTTCAGTTTAGGCCACGGTGTTAGAAACACACAGGTTGCAGTCGATTGTTGTTTATGAAAGAGAAGAGGTATTGTAAACCTGTCTGTTGACTGGGATTTTATGTTGTTCTCTGATTCTGTTTTGCCAGCTGCCTCCCTTCAGCGTGGTTCTCTCTCCAGCCCTGATGGATGGGGTGAGCAGTGGTGGTGCTGGGGGAGCATCCCTGTGCCTGGATCCAAGAGGATGGGGCCCATCAAGATCCCTTTCCTGGTAAGGAAAAGAGCAGATCCTGCTCTGCAGAATGACCTAGTGCAGTAGCAGGGTTTGTCCAGTGTGACAACAAAAAAAATCAATCAGACCTTTATAAAAATCCCAATTCTAGCTAAACCAAAGCTCCCTGTGACTCAGGGCTGTGTGAGAGGGGCAGCCAGGACAGCCAAGCTCTGCCCTAGCGCTGCTCCTGCCCTGTCACTGAGGTGAAAGGCTTGTTTTAACATTGCAGTGAACTCGGTAACATGTATTTTTGGCTGGAACAGTCTGACCCAGACTTGTGCAACAGTCCACTATTAATGGCAGTAGCCCTGATAAGTTAAAGGAGGCTCCAGGGAAATCAAGGTTGCCTAATGGGATCGTATCCATCCCTGGAACTGGGGCCAGCAGGGGTCTGAGTCTCCATGCTCAAGCCTGGTGAAGATGCCAGGTCCTACTCCTTCATGATTCTTTTCTCCAGGGA